TCCCGGCTGACGCGGGCCCGGCGCTGTCTCCGTGCAGGTGGTGCGGAGCTGCGTGGCGGCCGCGGGGTACAGCGTGGGGGAGTTTGCGGCGCTGGTCTTCGCTGGAGCCCTCAGCTTTGCCGAAGGTGCCCGGGAAATGTGCTGAACCCCTTCCCCTTCCCCTCCCTCCCTGTGCTTCTTCCAAAGCCCTGTTACCACTGTTTCCCTCCTTTTTTTTTGGTGATTTTTTTTTCTATCATTAGGATCAATTTTACTTTCTATTTCCACTGTTCAATACGTGTAACTCGGCATTAAAAGCATTGACGTGTCACGAAGAGTAAACAGCCCCCCTTTCTCGCGCAGCAGCAGCAGCAGCCCAGGCGCCTTCAGCGGGGTCTCCTCGGGGCTTTGCATTTTTACCCGGCAACGTTCACTCTGTGTTTTTTTCCCCCCCCTCAGCGCTGTACGCGGTGAAAGTCCGCGCCGAAGCCATGCAAAAGGCGTCGGAAGCCGTCCCCAGCGGAATGCTGTCGGTTGTCGGTCGGCGAGAGGCAAATTACAAATTTGCCTGCTTGGAAGCCCGTCAGCACTGTGAATCGCTGGGCGTAGCAAACCCGGTGTGTGCTGTTTCAAACTACTTGTTTCCAGACTGCAGAGTCATTGCAGGACACTTACAGGTATTGCTTCAGAATAACGACGCCCTTCTAGCTGAAGTTAACTTCTCGTTTTTCAGAACGTTTTCTTGGCGCTTCTGTGTGGAAGTTAAGAGTAGTTTGCCCAAACCAAGGGTGTTTTTGATCGGTGGGGTTTTCTTTCTGGGGTGTGGCTGAGTGTTGTGGTACAAGACTCTCACTTCTCTCTCTCTTTTATAGGCTTTGGAGTTTTTGCAGGAGAATGCCCGAAAATACTATTTTACACGTACCAAAATGCTTCCGGTCAGTGGGGCTTTTCATACCAGACTTATGGAACCAGCAGTAGAGCCTTTGGCTGAAGTCCTAAAATCGATTGAGATTCAGAAACCTCTGGTCTGTGTCTATTCCAATGTTGATGGCAAAAAGTACATGCATTCAAAGCACATTCAGAAGCTGTTAGTGAAGCAGGTGGTTTCACCTGTTATGTGGGAACAGACCATGCATTCTGTATATGAAAGAAAGCAAGGAACAGAATTTCCTTACACGTATGAAGTGGGACCCGGGAAGCAACTGGGAGCCATTCTCAAAAAATGTAATTTAAAGGCCTGGAAGCAGTATAAACATGTAGATGCTCTGGAAGATGAGGAAGCAGCAGAGACCTAAGTAGCTTTTTGAGAAAAATCCTCATGACTTTATTTTTCTGTCTTAATTTTAGAATTGTGCTCCCAAAAGAGGAAGTCTTGAACATTCATGGCTTCTGATGATGAAAAGGGCACTGTGTGTGTAGTCGCAGTGAACGTTTTCCTTCCTCATGTGCCTGAGGTGTGGAAGGGGAGAGCGAAGTCGGGCTCTTCCCGTCGGTGTCAGGACTGCGAAACGGCCAATAAACGCACCAGATTAGCCTTCTGTTGGGCTGACTCCATCCTGCAAGCAACTTCCCCTCTCCTCTCTTTGGTTTTTTTCTTGTCCTTTCTAATGTTTTCCCAGGGGTGTGGATTCAAGTTAAAGTTGGTAGCTGTGGCTATCTGGGGCAGGGTTGTTCTGCCTGGGTAGAACTGGGCTGTTGGCTCTGGGTGGTGGAGGACTCCACGCTTGGGCCTGAGGGTGTGTTTAGGGGAGCTGTTTGGCTGGTACAGATTTTGGCGCCTTGATGTTCCGGTTTTCGGGCTTGTCTGACTTGGCAGGACCTTCTCCTGTGTAAAATCCTGTCTGTTTTGTCACCGTGTTGCTAGGTGGCAGCTGGGTAAGGCAGAAGATGTAATTAGGAATGTGGTTTTCTGAAGGTTAAACTGTAAATAAAGGATAAAGCTTGTTTTGATATTTTTAACGCTGTGAGGTGCATCATTGCCGGCCACACGTGAACGGAAGTCATTTTCCTTCCAGTTGTTGTGCTCAGTTACACAACACGTTTCACTGGAAGGAAAAGCCTACTAGAATTGTCCAGCTTCCCAGAGCGACGGGGCTTTTGTTATCTCTGGCCAAGCCTCTTCAGGCTGCGTGGGCTGGATTGGCCCTTTGGGTGACTCTTCTTGATGGAGCAGAAAACAGCAGCACTGGAAGCTTTGCAGAAAGGTCTTCTAGGGGCTGCCTTTGTACACAGGTGAATCCTGTGGTAACAGAGTGCCAGGGAGGAGGATTTCGATTATGGCATTTCAGTTCTCTCTGTATTCTTCTCTGTGTTTTGCCAGTTTGAACGTTTTCTGGCAGCAGGAAATGAGCTGGAGAGGTGTGGGTTGTCCCAAGCCCTCCTGGAAAGAGCTTCCTGGTTCCCTTCTTGGCACTGACTGTTGTTGGATGGGTGAGGTAGGAGTTTCCTGGGCTGGCTGGTTGCAGGGGAGCGCCCGCTGCCTCCAGCACGTTCCTTGGTGCCTGCAGAGCTCCGGGTAGCGCTTGGAATGGCTTTAGCACCCAATCCGCAGGTTTGCATTGTGTAACCAACCCCTGGCTTATTAAAATAGGTACATTTGTGCCACATGCTGCTGTCTGGGCAAGATACCTGCAGGGTGCGCAGAAAATGTGTATTTGCTTTGTGTGCTCGAGGTACCAAAAGCTTTAGGAAATAAGAGAGAACTGTATTTGCTGGGGGATCATATACAAGCGAGCAGGGAAAGGCTACACAGGAGCTTCAACTAAACCCTAGCTGTTCTTCTTTTTCATTTTTTTATATTTAAATGGTTTATTGACAGATCTATAGGGAAAAAAATTACAATATATTACTTAAATGACCATGCCTGTCTTCAGTAATTTATGAAATGCAGAATAACTTCCAATTGCAGTCTTAATCATTTCATAATATCACATTTCTGAAAGGTAAGGTAAATTGTAAAATACTAGCCTTAACTGTGATTGCTTTAGTGGAGTGTATTATTAAACAGTTCTTTTGTGGACTGAAAGTGGCAGCTGAGCCCACCTTTTACAGTGCAAATTCCACTTTTGGTATGTGTAAACATTAACTGTTGGTAAAATAGAGAAGAATTTCATAGAAGTTGTCAGCTATTGGAATACTGGAGGCTGCCAGTTAAGGGCTGGGATTACTGTAAAGAAAATTATTTCAGTGAAAGCTCCTATGTTAAGGCAAGGTGCTAATTCTTCAATAAAGCATACCAAAGTTGTCACTATGGGGTTAGAATATCTCAAATCCCATTCCTCTTATTAAATGCTGAATTATGTGTGGTGTTAGAACTTTCAGACTACATCTTGTAAGACCAAACGCAGTGTTAGTGACTTTGAAAACAGCTTTTATGGTAGGTGGAACTGAGCATGGCATGTTGGTGGCACTGATTTTGGGTTTAGTATAGTGCTTTACAGTTTCTGGACTTTAAAAATTATCTTTTTTGTGGAAATTTTGGAGACCTGTTTTCTATTTGTATGGTTCTTACAATATTTTTTTTTCCCCCCTTCATTTCATGTTTTGCACTATTTGCCTGGAATAAAAGGGCTTTGGGAGAACCATGGTTAAAATCTGTTTGCAAATGCAGAGTATTAGATAACCTTTGCATCTTGGTCAGCTGCAGAGTGCCAGAGGGGTGTCTGGATCCCAAGAGCATCCTGCTTCTGTGGGTCCTGTTGAATTAGTGAGGAAAAGGAACCGTAGCCCCTGTGTGGGTGTTTGCTTTTCTTCCGGGTGGCAGTTGAGCCTGAGCTGAGGTAGCAAGGCCTGCGCTGCTGAGGCTGCTCCTCAGTGAGCCTCCTGTCTTCAAAAGCAGAAGCCAAGTGGTATCATTCTTGTGTTGTTGCTGCAGTTTATACCAGCTAAAAAAAAAGGGGGGATGGATGTCCTCATACCCCTGTCTTGAGAGCATTCAGGGCTTGCTTTCGTGTGGGGCCTGGCAGCCTGGTGTCACGCTGGGCTATGGCTGCAAATGAGCAGGAGGGTGTCCTGTGTGTTGCAGAACTTGTCTGTGGCCCTGCAGAGTGGCGTGCAAACTAAGATTTCTGAATCTTAGCAGTTAACCTGCCTTCCTTTTATGTGCTTACTCATCTATCCCTTCTGCTTCTGGAAGCTGAACTTTTTATGATGTGAAAAGTCGGCACAGTTCCTTCACCTAGGAACAAGCAGAAACAGGATGTGGAGAAAAAAAAAAAGTCAAGTGCAGTAAACTGGCACGAGGAAGTGTGCAGTTAAAAAAAAATTAAAAATGGTAATTACATTTGTGTCTCCTGAGTCACAGTGCAGAGCCTTAACTGGGAGACTCATTGTTCAGCTCCACAGGTGAGAGGGGAGCCTGGTAATTACTGCTCACTGCGGGAACTCCAGTTTGTGCAAATTGTTGTTGTGGGTGCTGTTTGCTTTGTGTTTCACTTGCTTCATGGGTGTGATTACATTTTATAGTCCTTGAGACTGCATTTTGCTCTGTACATGCTGAACATCCCCTTTTGTGAATCATAGTATGACATTACTGACTGCAAGAGGAATTGCAGAGTCATCCCACGCGGCTCTCAGATAGAATAGGCAGTGTGGCAGTCTCCTGTTTATCATTGCTCCCCTGTGAATAAATATTATTTATCTAGAAATAACTGAAATTGTTTTGTAGTGTTAAAGTGATTCAGCTGTGAATAATCCATTTTCGGCAGCTGGTATTTCTATTACACGTGCATCTATTAGACACTCTTGATGGGAATTTTTACCCTTCACTAAAAAAACAGTAACACATTTTCTGTCACGCTGCTGTTGTGGAGTTAAACAGAGCAGTCAACTCACTGATGAAACTTTGGTCTGTTGTTTTTTGTTATATGGGCAAATCAGTTGGCCAGCTCCTGAGACTCGGGTTCCAGATGAGCTAATTGTGCTTTTTTAGAAAAAAAACTTGCCTACCTGTTGCTGAATGGCAAATTGGCCCAAGGGCATTTTGAAAAGAGGTGACACCTGAACACCAGCTGCTACTCCTGCTGATGCTACTCCTGCTGAACTTCCAAAGTGTGCTGGAGCCATCACCTGGTACGTACCTTCTTTGCGTACCTTCTTTTTGCTCTGAATTTCAAGTCAATCAAAGATATGTCTAAGTATTTTAACATTAAATGGTTGAGTGTAATATTCTAGTTGAACCTTTTTTTTTTTTTTACTTTTTTTTTTATCCAGCCCCCAGAATAATTTTTTGAGGTGGTTAGGACCATAATGGGATTTGGGCACCATTCAGAAAAAGAGAGAAAACACATTCTTCAAGCCACCCAAACTTGACTGGGTTTGGCATTTGTCTCCACTGAAGAAAAAAGTGCTTCAGATTCCTTGTCTGGTGGAAAGCAGGGACTCAAAATTGAAACTCCAGCCTCTCAGATAAGTGCTTGAGTCACTAGGCCACTAAATATTGTATTTTCCTGTTTCAAAATTGTGCTAACTGTAGTAGTCACTTGACTAGGCAGGAAGCAGGTATTCCCTCTGCTGAGGGGAATACCCAAACCACAGAGATGTACTTTCATTTTCTCTCACTGAGAGAGAGTCTGTCACTGTATAGAGTGAAAAGTAGCTTCAAAAGCAAAGGGTAGTAGGGAAGATGCACCCAGATACAGAGAATAACTTGGTACAGGTGGGGCAGGGTATGTTGTCAGAGAGAAGAAACCCCATTGTGTCCCAGTGGCACCCATGGTGTATACAAAGGTGACACCCTCAGCAATCTCCATCCTGAAAGCTGTTCTCAGGTTTTCCCTTTGTCATCTATTTCCCCCTAAGCACATGCCTTCTAAAAAAAAGTATTCTAAAATTAATCCCTTTTCCAAATTCAATCAAATTCTTGAGTTTTTTTGAGCAACTCAAAAGTTTTACTCTGAAAAGAGGCAGAATATTGAGATTTCTGAAGACATTCTGGAAAATTAATAGCTTGGCTTGAGTGACCCTCAAGTACCAACCCAACCAACTTGCTCATTTGAAACTCTCTCTCTCCAATAAGCTATCATTTGATATGCTAATTTTACTACACAAAAATCAAATAAAGCTGTCCCATAGTCTTAGCTAGCAAAATGTACACAAGATATTGTCACTAATGTGTGATAGCACCATCCTGGAAAATAAAGTAGAAAACACTACAAAACATTTGAAGCAACAATTTAATTTTTAAAAAGTATAATGGTTTTAATCTTCACTATTGCTTTTACTTTGTTAAAATTCAAAGGATGTCCAGCATGCCTTCAGTCTTCCCTACATCCAGAATCTCTGTAAGAAACTTGTT